GATTCTTCCCTACAGCACTTGCTTCAGCACCCCCCAGCCTGTCTCCTGACACCCCCTCCTCCTGCCTGCCACAGCTCTGCTCTCCATCAAGACTCTGTCTCTGGGGACGCCTGGGTGGCTCAGTCGGTTAAACGGCTGCCTTCGGCTCAGGTCATGATCCCAGGGTCCTGGGATCGGGTCCCACGTGGGGCTCTCTGCTCGGTAGGGAGCCTGCTTCTCCCTCTTCCTCTCCCCCTGCCTGTACTCGCTCTCTCTCTCTCTCTGACAAATAAATAAAATCTTAAAAAAAAAAAAAAAAAGACTCTGTCTCTGACCAGCAGCAGACATGACCCAACCTGGCCAAAGCAAGGGGCAGCATGGGGCTGAGCTCCCTGTGACCCCTGCTCCCACAGCTGCTGAAGATGCTGTGGTTCCGCTCCCTAAGGATCTGGCTCAAAGCTGGTCCACAGACTCACAGGGTTGGCATCCTGGGCCTCACCCTGGATGTCTTGAGTCAGCATCTGTGTCTTAACAAGAGCCCAGGTGACTCCTCATGTGCACATCTGAAAAGCCCTGATCTAGGGCAAGCACCTCCCCGTGCCCATGCCGTCATCCCCCTGCCCCCAGCAGCTGGCTTGGGCCGCCACAGCTGGCCTTGCAGTCAGCTTTCCCCTCCCCTACCCACCACCTTCTCCCATGTGCCCTGACCTCCCAGGCCACTGACTCATGCAGAGGCCCCCTGGCCCTCAGCCCAATGCTGGGAGGTTTAACAGTCACCCTTGGCTCATACACCTGAAGCCACAGAGTTAGCACAGAGAACGGCCTAGAACCCCCACTCCCCACGCCAGATCCTGCCTCTGATTCATCCTTGCCAGTCTTCAACCAATCTTAACAACAGCATCTTTTAACCACATCATGGATTTCAGGTTTCCCCCAACAAACAAATCCGACAGGTGGGGTGTGATCCTCACCAAACCAGCTACCAGCTGTGTGAGCCCAGGCAAGGTGACAGAGCTCTCTGACTTGCAGCTTCTTCATCTAGAAAATAGTAGTGATTTTCACACGGACCTCAGGGAGATCATTCATCCATTCGTCCATTGTTGCCAACGGCCAATGTCTACAGAGCGCCATTGTGTGCCCAGCACCAGAGACAGAACCAAACAAGAGAGACCCAGTCTTGCCCTTCGGGAGCTTCCAGAGGAGGAACTGGGGGCAGACGTGGAACAGAGACGTGTATGCCATGCCCACAGGGGCCAGGCGTGGAGAGCACACCCGCAACAGACAGACATGGGCTTTAAGCTACCGAGGAGTTTAAGAAAAACATGAGGCGATGGGAGGAGGGCTGCCGGGATCTCCAACAGTTAATGGATATAGAAGAACTGAAGTGATTATAAAAATATTTCAAATGTAGAGCACAGGTGCCTGAAATAGGCAATAATTGAGAGGGAATTAGAGTTGTTTTTCAGAGAGTTTCACAAATTGTGTGTGTGTGAGTGTGCACGCTGTCTTAAAGATGGAATACATTTTCTCAGGGTTTCAGAGACCTGTCATTTAAAGAAAATGATAGGGATGGTTTGAGAGCAACCCCAGGGCACTTGTTATGCCCTGAGCTTCCCTCTGACGGGTCCCTGAGCTGCCCTAGATCTCAGATTTTGAGAGTTAGCTAGGCACCCCACGAACACCCACCTACCACCATGTTTTCTACATGAGACACTGAGGCCCGTACTTGCCCAGTGTGAGTAGGTGATTACAGGTGGCAGAAAATGGATATTCAAACCCAAGTCCCCTGCCTCCTGGCCAAATACCCTTTACCATACATCATGCAGGCTTCCATGAGCTCACGACAATGCCCAGTCAACACTGGCGATCAGCACTGACCCAACCAGGCTGAATCTCAAGTGGATCCCACCAACCAAAGGGAGCCAGATGCCGAAGCCTGCATTGTTCCATCTGCAGGACAGCCAGGAAAAGGCAAACGAGGAACGTATACAGATTGGTGGTCACCAGACGGTGTGGGAGGGGCTGACTGCAGCAGGGCACAGGGAATTTTTGGGGTGTTGGAATATCCTGTATGTCGATTAAGGTGGTGGTTATACCAAGTGCATTTGTCAAAACTCAGAACCATATGCCAACAAGAGCAAATTGTACTGCATGTGAATTGTACCTCAATTTTTTAAAAAGCAACCTAAAATAATACATGGTGATGATAGTAATAATCACCTTCAATGCCAAAACCCAGTCTGTGTTCAGGGCCATGACACGGAGTCCTTGGAGATGAGCAGGGAGATGAAGAGTCAGCTTCAGTCAAGGATGTCCAGCTGCATACACTCCTCCTGGGAGGTTTGTCAACTGCACATCCTCAAATCAGCATGCTCCAACCCCGAGGAGGCTCCCTGACCCACCATGAGTGGCGCTGGCCTGCCCTGTCGCCCTGGCCCACCACGGGGACGGCCCCTCCGTGCTCTGCCTCAAACCACCATGTGTCACTGATCCTATCATTCCTCTTGCACATCTTCCCCACCCCAGCCCCTACTTGCCACACCTGGGTGACACCTGCCCTCTGGCCTGGGGCCCCCAGCCCGGCCCGCCCAGAGCTTCCGCGATCCTGCTGCCTCCTCACCCACGGTCATCAAGGATGCCACAGGGACTCCCTGACCCGGTTCAGAGACCTCCACAGACTGGCCCCAACACACAGTTAACTCCTGCATTACCCGCCCCACCCTGCGGCCACAGGACCTCTGCCCACTTGCCCTCTGCCCCGAGATCAAGCTGAGAACAGCCTCGGTACTCTTCGGAGGCATAAAGGCAAGTGAAAGAGAAGACAAGGGGATGTTGGTGGGTAGGCCAGAGTCACTGAATCCTAAAATCAACAGCTTCTGCCTGGACACTGTCAGGGATGGGAAATTCACTGCCCGCCCCCCCCCAGCAGCTAACCCACCTTTGGCCACCTCTCAACTCCAAAGCTGAAGTCTGTCCTTGCCTGTGGCCTCAATCCACCCCCTCCATGCCCCAGGCCCCAGAGAACAGATTTGTGATGACCTTGACCTTGGCCCTCCTGGGTCTTCTCTCCCCGTTCCTAACCAGAGCGTAGGGCAGAGGGTCCCCCCTCCATCTGGCCAGGATAGAAACCTCTCACTCTCTCTCGTTCTCATCCCCTTGCTGACTGGGGTTCAACATGATGTGAGTGGAAACCACCTCTCTTGCCTGTGAGCTGTGGGTTCCTTGCCATGTTTATAATAAACTTTGCACTGCCAGGTACTCCTGGGAGGGATGCCCCCCCAAATGTGACCTGTTGGCCTCTACATGGTCGTCTCTGGCCCCCTGAAATCACAGCTTTACCCTCTGAGGCAAAGCATTAGCCAGCAGGACAGGGTCTCTCCAACAGATCTCACAGGGCACACCCTAGCATTTGTGGACCAGGACATAGATGCTGGGACTACCAGCGGCTTGCTGGGGTCCCAGAGCCAGCCATGGTGCTGAAGGAGCTCCCCAGGTCCTCACAAGCCAGGCCAAGCTGCCCCAAGGTAGGCCCTTGTCTTAGCGCTCCCTGACCTCTAACACCTTAACACTTGTTTCTGCTTGGCTGATTATTTATAGGCAGGTTCATCAATGGAATACCAGCAGACATGCAGGCAGGTAGGAAAGGAAGCAACATCCCAGGACAAACTTTCTGCATCTGTGTCATTAGGTAGCTGGTTCCAGGAACCAGAGTGGTCCTTAGTCCTCAAATCTCCCTGACCAGAAAGTCCTAATTCCTGCCTTAGATAAACAAAGATATGCTCTGCCTAGAGCAAGGGAAGTCACCCTTCCTGAATATTCTAAGGTCACCTGACCAACTGCCCTGAAATATGTTTGGCCGGGGGTGAGGGGAAGAGGAGGGGGTTGGGAACTCACCCATGAGGACCAGAGGGTGATGCCTGGGGTCGCCAGGGCACCTGCTGTAAGCAGAGGGGTGCGGTGAGAAAGGGGGAGGGGTGCTTCAAGTCCAGACCCCATTCTTTACATTTTTTTACAGAAGCAGAAAAAAAAAGCTTTCCTGAGTCTTTAAACTCTTTGAAAACGTGGTAAGAGGTTCTACACCTGTAATCAAGAAAGATGTATCTGCATAAACACAGCTTCTGCCTACAATTTATGTGTCCCTTACATAGAGTCCATGGGAGCCCAGGTTCTGAACCCTCAGATGGGTGGGAAGCCACAGAGAACACTAACATGGCTCTCCTGTCTAGCACGCTGTCCTACCCAGCTTACATTCTACTCAAGGATCCGCCATGTCCCTCATCACTCCAAGAGCCTGTACCCTGGAAGGCATGTGTTGGGAAGAAAATGGGGTTTGCCTGGACAGTCCTGGTATAATTCGATTACAGCCTTTTTCCTGTGAAGAGTGCCCTGGTCCAAATGATATCCACCATGGTCACCCCAGAGGGAGGTGACCATTCTGTTATGCCAGCTGGTGGGGTGGGCGAGGGCTTGTTCCCACAGCTGCCATACATCATCCTATCAGACAGGCCACTAATCTACCAACTACACTTAGCCACCAGTGGATGGCAAGAGGTTTGTCCCCACAGGATTCAAGTCTTCCCTCTTCTGAATTTACTGTTGTGTGACCGTCATTCGCTGGTAGTCCTTTTGAGTCTCCCCCAGACTTTACTTTTGTGTCTTTCCGTACATCTTCCCTTTCTTCACTTTGGTTTCATGAAGTTCTCCTCACTGTTTTTGTTACTCTTTCTCTTGAATGACTCAGAAGATGTTTACTTGAAAGTTAGTTATACAAGCCACTTAAAGCATTTTCCCCAAAGCACATCCTATGAATAGAATAAACAAACTTCAATTATAAAATGATACATGAAAGCATCCAAATTGCAGTGGTTAAACTGTAATTTTCATTGACAAAGATGCGGTCGCCCAGATGTACAAACTCTTCCAAATTCCATCAAATCTGAAAGGGAGTGGAAGACCAGACTCTGAATGGAACATTTAGCCTGATGACCCTAACTGAAAATTGTTCTCTTTCTATTCCAAAGCACTCAAACTGGTGAAGCTGGAGAGGTTACCCATTTCCAGTCACTCTGCTGAGAAACAACTGGCCCAATTTCCATGGAGACCAGGGGATCTGAAGGTTTGGAAAAGCCCTGGAAGAAGTCGGTGAGTGGGTCACAGGAGACTGATGATGTGCAGGACAAGGTGAGACCTGAGTTACTCTCAGAAGATGAGAAAACATGCCATGCCAACCAAGAGACACAAGACAGAGAACCCCGCCGCTCCATCCCAATTCATAGAAACTCCATCTTCAACCGCACCATGAGACGCAAAAGCAAAGGCAAACCCAGAGACGCTCCTGAACAGAACACCCCTGACCCAGCAGGTCAGTACCAGGGACAGCTGCTACCACTGTTCCCTTGATAGCCAGGTGGAGTCATCAGGGCTGAACGGCCCTAATTAAATGAGAGAATAAAAGGCCTTGAAAATTATCAAGGACAGGTCCAATAAAATGACACACTTTGAAGCTGTTATCTAAAGGATTCAATTCCCGCAATATGATGATGTGGGTACTTCAGGAGAAAGTGTTGACCCAAATTGTACAAGAAGACTGGCTTCTATTTAAAAGAAACATCTTGTTCTAGGACTCAACAAAACACCCCTAGACGTCCATGCCTTCTAGCAGGGAGGCTTGGAGCTGTCCACGTTTGGGGATATCTGGGAACACGAGTTTCCCAAGCTGTGAGGTCCTATCTTTGTTCTCTCACGGTTGCTGTGATGGCCAGTGTTTCTGCCGCACTGGAAATATCTGAGAGGAATATCTCGGGAATAGCTTTGCAGCTGGATCCATTAATCTTTTCAATGAGTCCCTAGCACATCTTATCTGCTCCAAGTATATTTCTTGAGCAGAATAAGGTTCAGAAAGTTTTACAATTGGCGGGGTGGCTGTCAGAACTGCAAATTCCTTTCTTTGTGACTTGCCCACATGCCTGAGTGGGCAGCATGCCAGGGCTGTGGAGGAGGTGCTAGTTTCTTGGTCCCTGGGGTACGGCACCTGCCACCAGTCTGCCACCCTATGTGTGCTGGAAGTGGCAACCCCCTGCTTTAGATCCAGGGACTTCATGAATCATTTGAGACATTCACTGAACTCCGTATCAGGAAGCCTTTTGCCACATGGTAAACCACCCTCAATATATAGAGACAAAACAACAATATTTATTATTTCTTGTGATTCTGGGGGTTGACTGGGTGGTTGCTCTGTCTGGACCAGTCTGTCTGACCCCTGCATCCGCTGGTGGCCCATCTGGGATTGGAAGGTCAAGGAAGCCCCGCTGGACTCTCTTGGTGGCTAGTGAGCTGGTTGGCCAAGGTGGGCCTCAGCTGAGACTGCCAGTCTCTGTTCTCTGTGACTGCTCTTCCTCCAGTAGGCTGGCTCGGGCTTGTTCACAAGGCAGCAGGGTTCCCAGAGGTCAAGAGCAGAAACCACTCTCAAGAGGCCTGGACTCAGACCTGTACAGCCACTTCTACCACATTCTACTGGTCCAAGCAGCTCACACACCAGCCCAGATGGAAGAGGATGGACAACCCAACCCCACTGCTTGATGGGAGGGGTGGCAATCTGTGGGTGTTTGCTATCTACAAACACTAACAAAATTATGCATCAAGCACTGAATTAAGAGCAAGAGAAATACGATGGAAATGCTATACTCGTGGAAGCTGGGCGAATGTATTATATTTTTATTATATGACCCTCCCAACTTTTGTGTATGTTTGAAAACCTTATGAAGTGGAGAGTTAGAAACACACTCCCACACAAAGAAAGTTGGAGTCTCTGCCCTTGAGGGACCCGCAATATTGTAATGATGTCATTCTACAGCAAGCAATGCTTCAAAGTTTACAAGAAAAGTAAAGGCAGAAAACAAGACCCTTCCAGTGAGGTTAGGAATGATTCCCCAAAGAAGATGATACTTTAGATGAGTCTTGAGGGGTGCATGAGGACATGGCCAGAGAGACAACAGGAGCTAGCTTGGCTGAGCACTTGGAGGTACTTAGTGTTATGGGTGTCCTTACTACACCCATTTTATAGATTAAAAAATAAACACCTGAAGAGATTGAGTCACTTACCCCAAATTGCACAGCTAGTGAGTGACCTGGCTTGAACTGGAGTTCAGATCCTTCTAGTTCCAAAGCCTGTGCAGATGGAGAAGGGGGTTAGGGAGGCTCTTTCTAACAGAAATATGATGCAAGGCACATATGTCATTTTAAATTTCCCAGTGGCCACATTAACGAAAGTAAAAAGAAATGGGTAAAATTCATTCTAACAACGCATGTATTGAGCACAATGCATCCAAAATATGATTGTTCCATCACGTAGTCAATAATCAATATAAAAAGTTAGTAATGAGACATTCTGCATTTGTTTTTTGACAGTATGTCTTTGAAATCCGTGGAATATTTTTGTTGGAAATATTTGATATGGATTTAGTTTTCATAAAATGTACAGAAAAGCAGATTTGCATACCCAGACTGTTCCATATAGCCTTAAAAGTTTTCCAGTAACTAAATTGAGTATTGGTTTTTACATTTAAATTTAAATTAAGTTGAAAAGAAATGAAGAACTCACTTCCTGAGTCACACTAGCCCCATTTCAAGCGCATACTGGCCACACGTGGTTAGCAGGGGCCCTACCCGATCTCGCGGGGTTAGAGCATTGCAAAGCAGACAGAAAAGCAGATACAGCTGCCCACGGTCGGGGACTGGGGGGTCTTTCTGAGCAGGAGCAAAGGCAGGTGTGGGGCTGGGTTGGAGATGAGCCTGGAGAGGAAAACCGCGTCAAGGGGGAAAGAGTGTGCGGCTTCCCGAGCCGAGCCGAGAACGCCGACGCCAGTGTAGACTAGAACAAGGGTCACTTCACTTCTTGCCACCCTCAAAGATGCCATTGATGTCCAGACCATAAATATTTTCATCAGACTCAGAGTTTTATTTTTATTTATTTTTTT